TGTAGAAATATCAGTGTGGGGTCATGTAAAGGTGTAGAAATATCAGGGTGGTGTCATGTAAAGGTGGAGAATATGTCAGTGTGGGGTCATGTAAAGGTGGAGATATGTCAGTGTGGGGTCATGTAAAGGTGGAGATATGTCAGTGTGGGGTCATGTAAAGGTGTAGAAATATCAGTGTGGGGTCATGTAAAGGTGGAGAAATGTCAGTGTGGGGTCATGTAAAGGTGGAGAAATATCAGTGTGGGGTCATGTAAAGGTGGAGATATGTCAGTGTGGGGTCATGTAAAGGTGTAGAGAAATGTCAGTGTGGGGTCATGTAAAGGTGTAGAAATATCAGTGTGGGGTCATGTAAAGGTGTAGAAATATCAGTGTGGGGTCATGTAAAGGTGGAGAAATGTCAGTGTGGGGTCATGTAAAGGGTGTAGAAATATCAGTGTGGGGTCATGTAAAGGTGGAGATATGTCAGTGTGGGGTCATGTAAAGGTGTAGAAATGTCAGTGTGGGGTCATGTAAAGGTGTAGAAATGTCAGTGTGGGGTCATGTAAAGGTGGAGAAATATCAGTGTGGGGTCATGTAAAGGTGGAGATATGTCAGTGTGGGGTCATGTAAAGGTGTAGAAATATCAGTGTGGGGTCATGTAAAGGTGGAGATATGTCAGTGTGGGGTCATGTAAAGGTGTAGAAATGTCAGTGTGGGGTCATGTAAAGGTGTAGAAATATCAGTGTGGGGTCATGTAAAGGTGTAGAAATATCAGTGTGGGGTCATGTAAAGGTGGAGAAATGTCAGTGTGGGGTCATGTAAAGGTGGAGATATGTCAGTGTGGGGTCATGTAAAGGTGTAGAAATATCAGTGTGGGGTCATGTAAAGGTGTAGAAATATCAGGGTGGTGTCATGTAAAGGTGGAGATATGTCAGTGTGGGGTCATGTAAAGGTGTAGAAATATCAGTGTGGGGTCATGTGAAGGTGGAGAAATGTCAGTGTGGGTTCATGTAAAGATGTAGAAATATCAGTGTGGGGTCATGTGAAGGTGGAGGAATGTCAGTGTAGGGTCATGTAAAGGTGTAGAAATATCAGTGTGGGGTCATGTGAAGGTGGAGAAATGTCAGTGTGGGGTCATGGAAAGGTGGAGAAATGTCTGTGTGGGGTCATGTCCGAGAGGGGAAATATCTGTGTGGGAAAATGTCAGTGTTGGGTCATATTCGAGTGGGGAAATGTCTCTGTGGGGTTATATCCGAGTGGTGAAATGTTTGCATGGGGGTCATATCCGAGTGGGGAAATGTCAGTGTGGGGTTATATACGAGTGGGGAAATGTTAGTGTTAGGCCATATCCGAGTGGTGAAATGTCAGTGTAGGGTCATATCCGAGTTGTGAAATCTCAGTGTGGGGTCATATCCGAGTGGTGAAATGTCAGTTTGGGGTCATATCCGAGTGGTGATCATGAAATGTCAGTGTGGGGTTATATCCGAGTGGGGAACTGTCTGTGTGGTTTTATAACCGAGTGGGGATATGTCTGAGTGGGGTCATATCCGAGTGGTGAAATGTCAGTTTGGGGTCATATCCGAGTGGAGAAATGTCAGTGTGGAATATATCCGAGTGGGGAACTGTCTGTGTGGTTTTATAACCGAGTGGGGATATGTCTGAGTGGGGTCATATCCGAGTGGTGAAATGTCAGTTTGGGGTCATATCCGATTGGAGATATGTCAGTGTGGAGTTAAATCCGAGTTGTCAAATGTCAGTGTTAGGCCATATCCGAGTGGTGAAATGTCAGTGTAGGGTCATATCCGAGTTGTGAAATCTCAGTGTGGGGTCATATCCGAATGGTGAAATGTCAGTTTGGGGTCATATCCGAGTGGTGATCATGAAATGTCAGTGTGGGGTTATATCCGAGTGGGGAAATGTCAGTTTGGGGTCATATCCGAGTGGAGAAATGTCAGTGTGGAATATATCCGAGTGGGGAACTGTCTGTGTGGTTTTATAACCGAGTGGGGATATGTCTGAGTGGGGTCATATCCGAGTGGTGAAATGTCAGTTTGGGGTCATATCCGAGTGGAGATATGTCAGTGTGGAGTTATATCCCAGTGGTGAAATGTCAGTTTGGGGTCATATCCGAGTGCAAAAATGTCAGTGTGGAGTTATATCCGAGTGGGGAACTGTCTGTGTGGTTTTATAACCGAGTGGGGATATATCTGTGTGGGGTCATATCAGAGTGGGGAAATATCTGTGTGGGGTCATATCCGAATTGGGAAATATCTATGTGGGGTCATGTTTGAGTGCAAAATATCCCTGTCATGTTGTATCACACTACTGCTAGACTGTACACAGCGTGTGTTCTCTGATCGCATCTAAAATGTACAAACATTAACAGTGAAATAACACTAAATTGAAACCACAAGCAATTATCCCACGCAAAACAGTGCTGCCTGTGTTGGTACGCATCGCGTACACCATAATTCGCCTCTCCGTCATGCAGATTGTGGTAATAGCCTTCAAGTTGTGTGTGCCATGCCACTGCAACAATACAAACATTCAGCTGTATGCGATTTAGCCATCACAGTGCTAGAGGATTTTTTAATAAGATAGGGCAAGCGATTTTCCTCACAACAGGATACATATACAGTAATCGCCTTGTGGTTCCAAACTGAGCTACATTCAAATGCATTAGCTGAAACATCGATATTCCAGTAGTCCAATATTCAAGACATGTGTGATTTACCATTTACACTCAGTGGACATAAGGTCCCCATATTATTGAGGTATAACGAAGATATCGTCCATTAGTTCTTATCCTAAACTGAATTATCCTCAGTCGGTCAGAGGGAAGTGAGTTTCCATAGTAACAGGTCTGTGAAGGACATCCATGGTTTCATATTACTCTCTCCAACTCTCCGGCAGGGAGAGTGACCTCCACCACCTTCTTCTGACCTCACACAGTGTCTCGAAGGTATTGTTAAATATCAAAGTGATGACTTGATGACGACTCATGCTATGTGCTTCTCACCGAAAATACTGCATTCAAGTCAAAAACACGTACCCTAGAGTATATATCTACCAGGTGTCCAACTCAAGTCTACAGAGATTTCACAAGTGTAGATTGCGTCAGCTCTATTAACAAATATTGTTCCGAACACCATTCTATTTTAGAATTCTATCTGTATACATATATCTTTAAATAAGACACATTTATTTCGGGGACAGAATGTCAATATATCTCAGGACCACAGTCTGAATTTAACATGAACCACAACTGTTCACTTTTATAGAAAATTCCTCGCTTCAGGTTAGACCCTCGCTACTACTGATTGTAACAGGTGCAAAACCGAAGTAGCAAATCTTTTAGACGAGTATAAACCCATCCTTTTTTCTTGTACGGATACAGGTCTTTACATTTAACAGAAAGCCAAGCGGAGCAATATTCATGACATATCCTGCAAAAATCAATGGCTCACTATGAGCCTGATCGCACATAATGACCCCCCGAACCTCAGTGCCTCCTCGGTTGAGACAAGAGTGGGTAATAGGCACTTTTCACAATAGGTCGCGGAATCCCTACGTGTGTGAAATATGCGCATGCTGTTTCGGGTCTAATTGTAGTAAATATAGTGTTGACCGTAGGAAATCTTACTCGGCTGTTTCGTTGATATCCGACTATATTCGTTTCCTTGCTTCTTCCCAAATACCTCGAAAGTAGGGTGTGTGTGTGTTTCGGTGTAGTATTGATCCAAATAACCCAGTAACCTAAGGAAATGGATTCGACGGTCTGACACCGATACATTGTTAACTACGAATGATTGTATTCGTGGGGAATGGGCCATTGATCGTGATACACATAAATACAAAAATAACCAAAAACATTTCCATATTTATAAAAAAAAAAATATTCGTTGAAAGCAGAATCCATTGACTGCATATAACAAGCATCTGATTTACCATTCCGATTTACTTATAAGATAATGATGACACCAGGTGTTCTGGTATATCTGGTCCGGACACCGAGATTTACTGGCCCCATGTGACTGGTAGCCTGGCTCACAGTGCCTGAGCCATAATATTGTCCTCTCCACCAAGCTCGACAGTAATGCAAAAACCCTAAATGAAACAAATCTAGATTTCCCTCGGTTTTGTAACCTCCACCTCGTTGCGGCTCTATTTCAGATTAAACTGAGTTCTTGTTTCCATCAAACTTATATATTTCCAGACTAATCGTTAATCTATATGGCTGGAGTATCACGAGCGTTAACAAGGCCCACTTCCTCCCTTTACTTTCTTCCTAACAAGAAAATGACATTAAATTATAGTTCTAGTTTGTGCTAATGTATGCAGCTGCCTTTATCAGAGTCGACCCCAGGATCAACTGTCATCCACCAATTACTTGTGTGGGACTTCCTGGACATTGCACTGCGTCACCACCACTGTACTGACCTCGGCCACTACGGATGTTCCCTTGTAACCTCATCCTTCGTCAGTCGGTAACTTTAAATCACGGCTTCAATAAGCAAGCATTCCTTTCATCTGTATTGATGATAGTACATGACTTCGCTGTATATTCCACCACGAACTGTAATAACTTAATAAGTTGATTGCTCAAAGTAATTGGGTAACACTATGTCAGACGTTAAGCGGTTGCTATGCTGTAAAACGGTGCACTTGTCTGTTCCGGTTGAGCTGACACCTGAATACGTGGTATATAGGTTTATATCTTAAAATACAAATAGTTTGCAAGGCCGATGCGGGCGTAAAAAATACTCACTCACTAGCAGGTCTAATTAGACTATTTTGGGGTAGCATCTATTCTTCCATTGCGAAGTAAACAAAGTTACCCGTTGTTGCTAAGTTAGTTTAATAATCATAAGGATTATGACACATCGTATTGCACATCTTGCCGTGCAACAAGTGAAAACAGGCATCATCAGCACATGCACACAGCTTATCAACAGTAGATGAGGAAGGATGGGAGCGAAAAGAAAAACAAAGCTTACATTATTCCTATATTGCCTACTTACCAAAGCTGAGCTTACACTGCAACAAGAGAACCCATAGCGCAATGAGGTAGAATACGTCCATTCCGAAACCACCACACACTAACCCACTGCGACTACTGTACAACTACCGCATGTGTTTCCCGTACATTTAAAGGTCGTCATCGGGCATGTCGGACTGAAAAAGCCGGAACGGGCAGTGTAGATGGGTAATTCTAAAACAGGATTGCGTTTATATAAAATGGAATGAGATTTCTGAGGAAATGGCATTTTCTTTAAATCGGGAAAACTGACTAAGAAGGAAAAATGAAATTTATGGACAAGACATTGAAAAGTTTGAAAAAGATGTATTTCTGTAGTGCTTACACTTAAATCAATTTTCATTTGAAGCAAATATGTGCAAAACGATAACCAGCCAGTTCAGTACTGGGTTTGTTATAGACAGTACACAGTTACTGCTTCAGAACATGCAATTTTGTAACATATTTTTTCAAGCCAATCAAACATGGCCAGCGAACAGTATTATGTATTTTTTTCCTTTTAAAGGCATCTGAAGCATTTTTATCATAATACATTCTCCAGAGCATTTATCATTACATTTAGGATTTTAAGAAAATCTCCAATTCGACTAAGATCGTTCTCTAATTCGTATGAGGATTCGTCTTTTACATTTAACCTTACCACAACACTCTTAGTCATCAAACATTCTTCAAGTTATTCCAAATGCCGCTCAATACCCTACATACCGTGGTGCGCTATTGCTTACTAATGTCATTGTTGTAAGCTATTATAATTATGTATTTTTATTACCGTCGATATTTACATAATTAGCCAGAAACAGATATGACCCGTCTCGGCCCGGTCCGACTTGCAGGCGTTTGTAGCGACCAGAACTGGGATACGACCAGAACTGGGATAAACAGTCCACAATTTCGTAAAACCCTATTTACTGCAGTACTGCTCCCAGTTAACTCTAAAACTTAAGGCGATCTATGCGCGGAATATGATTTAGTTAATGTTTTTGTGAGGAGACACTGAAAATTATCAGTTACATATTTCCATATTCCTCTGCAAATATGTAGCTCACATTTAATTTTCCAATATAGGTTGGAAGAACCTTAAGAGTTTCTAATTATTTTTGTACTCGCCAGTTATTCAATCGTTTATATCGTGTGGCAATTCCCACTCAAGCAAACCTCTCATGGTGTATGACGTTTCATTTTCATTAACTTTGTTGTTTTATAATGCAAGCATCATGTAATTTACATCACGTAATAAATATCATATAATCGGCCACGTTAATGGAAATAATTCAAACACCCTATTGTGTTCTGAAATAATTCTGATTTTTGTCGTAATAAGCTATGTAACTGTGAAAACATTTCCGTATTCAGGTGTTTGTGACCGAATTTGCTGCATTTTAAATGATCCTTTACTTTAAATTGGTTGCATAGTTCAGCTGTATTGGGTACGGCTCAAAGCTGAAGCCAAACAAATCACATTTGGGACCGTTTATAATTTATAGCTGGGGGTGCGGGGGGTGATGATGATTTTAGGGGGGTCACCCATTTTGTTCTGGGGAGGTAGAAGGGACATCTATTTTGTACACAAATACTAGGGTTGGTGTGTGTGTGTGTGTGTGTGTGTGTGTGTGTGTGTGTGTGTGGGTGTGTGGGTGGGTGGTGTGTGGTGAGGAGTGAGTGAGTGAGAGTGAGTGAGTGAGTGAGAGAGAGAGAGAGAGAGAGAGAGAGAGATGTTTTGTACATGACAAAATTTAAAAACGATGCTTAAACATTATGGGAATAGTGAGGGCCTGGTAGGGCGGTCATTGATTTTGTACTTTACATGCTGCATGGGGGGTGTCACATACTTTGTACATAAATTGTAAAGGGAGTGGGTCGCTCACGTTGCACATGCTTATCATTCAGGCTGAAAGGCAAAGGGGATGTGTCGGATATATAACTTCCATCACAATGAAAAAGGAGGGAAGGGCGTATGTCGGATATATCAACAGAAGAGGCCAAACCTTTTCCACGTCCATAAGTAATCTCTACTAAAAGCAGAGTCGAATGTACAATTCTGACTATATCATGAGCATGTATTTGTTTCAGCAGTATTACAGGTGTGCAATGTTGTTGGTAAACAGTCATTGATTGTCATCATACGACATCACACAGAATGAAAGTTGGGAAGGGTATACATGTACATCGGATATATAACTTACACCACACAGAATAAAAGGCGGGAAGTGTATATCGGATATATAACTTACACCTCACAGAATGAAAGGCGGGAAGGGTCTATCGGATATATAACTTACACCTCACAGAATGAAAGTCGGGAAGGGTATATCGGATATATAAACACACCTCACAGAATAAAAGGCGGGAAGGGTATATCGGATATATAACTTACACCATACAGAATAAAAGGCGGGAAGGGTATATCGGATATAAAACTAATCCCCACAGAATGAAAGACGGGAACGGTATATCGGATAAAGAAAGTAAGCAACACAGAATGAAAGACGGGAAGGGTATATCGGTTATATAACTTACACCATACAGAATAAAAGTCGGGAAGGGTATATCGATATATAACTTACACCATACAGAATAAAAGTCGGCAAGGGTATATCGGATAAAAGTCGGCAAGGGTATATATAACTTACACCTCACAGAATGAAAGGCGGAAGGGTATATCAGATACATGTATATACATTACACCATACAGAATAAAAGGCGGGAAGGGTATATCGGATATATAACTTACACCTCACAGAATAAAAGGCGGGAAGGGTATATCGGATATATAACTTACACTTCACAGAATGAAAGTCGGGAAGGGTATATCGGATATATAACTTACACCTCACAGAATAAAAGGCGGGAAGGGTATATCGGATATATAACTTACACCATACAGAATAAAAGGCAGGAAGGGTATATCGGATATAAAACTAACCCTCACAGAATGAAAGACGGGAACGGTATATCGGATAAAAAAAGTAAGCCACACAGAATGAAAGACGGGAAGGGTATATCGGTTATATAACTTACACCATACAGAATAAAAGGCGGGAAGGGTATATCGGATATATAACTTACACTTCACAGCATAAAAGGCGGGAAGGGTATATCAGATATATAACTTACACCATACAGAATAAAAGGCGGGAAGGGTATATCGGATATATAACTTACACTTCACAGAATAAAAGGCGGGAAGGGTATATCAGATATATAACTTACACCTCACAGAATAAAAGGCGGGAAGGGTATATCGGATATATAACTTACACCATACAGAATAAAAGGCGGGAAGGGTATATCGGATATAAAACTAACCCCCACAGAATGAAAGACGGGAACGGTATATCGGATAAAAAAAGTAAGCCACACAGAATGAAAGACGGGAAGGGTATATCGGATATATAACTTACACCATACAGAATAAAAGTCGAGAAGGGTATATCGGATATAAAACTACCCCCAACAGAATGAAAGACGGGAAGGGTATATCGGATATAAAACTAACCCACACAGAATGAAAGACGGGAGAGGTTTTACATCGGCTATGTTCTATTCATTCAGACTGAAGGTGAGGGAGGGTGTGCATAACATGTTTAATATATACTCATGCCAATAATGGTTGTCACCCCTCCCCCACCCCAACCCCACCCCCAAACACACCCCTCTCTCCAATTAAAAACTGAAGGGGTGACAACCATTATTGGCATGAGTATATTACAAGTCAGTGTGCGAACTGGTTTCCAAATTTTGTTACCCAGTCGGGCTACCTATGCCTGAAAGTTACTAGCCCACACAATAATTCACTAGCCAGAAATTTGAATGTAGAAACTGAGCAAAAGATTGCAAAATAGATGAGAATAAGATAATGTCGGCATGGCAAGGGTTTCATCATTAATCTGCTGATATGACGAACACTTTTGTCAGACCATAATCTCGCATGATTCAAAAGTTTAATTATAACTTAACAAGTCGGAGAGAGTGAACATGACCCCGTGAATTGGGTGTGGGATGGGTGGGGGCGGGCGGGGAAGAGAATGGTTTCTTTAGTTGTATTGGATATGCTACATTATGCATGCAAATGCAAGTCACATATATCTTCATAGCTGCTTAACAACCTGCAACATTTATTGGTGTTTGACACAACCTACCTACTGTGTGTGTGTGTGTGTGTGTGTGCGTGCGTACGTGTGTGTGTGTGTGTAGTTATAACTATCTTATTCACTTTTATATTTTATTTATACCATCAAGTAATTAGTGTCTCGTAGGCCAACTGGCCGGGTGCTCTTTTTAACGTATCATACTATATCTATACATTTTGTACCACAGCATGTGACACTTTGAGAAAATAATTTCTTCTTCTTCTTCTGGCGAGGTGGGGTAGCCTAGTGGTTAAGGCGCCGAAGACCCTGTTGGCTGTGATATTGCTGGAATATTGCTAAAAGTGGCATAAAACCATACTCACTCACTCGCTCTTCTTCTTAAGTGCCTTAATCATAAGCGCAAGCTCACACACCATTTCACTTTAGACATATATACGTGCTGGTATTTCTATGACCGAACCCATTTATAGGCATTTTTCTACCATCTATTACTGAACATTCCTATGGTTGATGATTTGCACTGGATATAAGCTGGATATCCCATATATTTCCACATACCTGCTCCTGATCTGCATAACAAATATTTTATTGAAGAATACCAAGCAGTCCGAACTACTCATTATCACTATTCTTTCACAATGTATAGATTTCTATATTGTAAGAGAAACAATTAAAATCACATCCAGGACCTACACTTTTTACCGAATATCTTAAGATATTCATTATCAGTAACATATGTGCCACTATGCTGCTTCATGTCATACCCAAATATATTCAGCCTTGAAGGGTATCTGACAAAAAAAGAATCTTAAATATAGTAAGCAATAAATACATAATGCTGGTCTACTAATGTTTCATTAATTATTATGTGCATTACATACGAAAATATGCCATATCTTAAAAGCTATACATTTTCACTGCATTAAGATAGAATAACATTTGTCCCACCTGTCCTTGTGCACATGGGTGATCCAATGCTTTGTACTCTTGGCCTATGACCTCTGTTACTGAATAAATTTCTTGTTCTTGTTCTATTTTTATTGTTCTTTAATACATAAG